GTTGCCAAAACTTTTAAGATGAAAACTTAAATTACAAGAACATAATTTAAACATACCATAAGAAAATAAAATATTACAGCAGATGGCTTATCAAGAAATAAGCTAGATAATGAGGGGAAAGTAATAAAAGTTGACTTCAAATATTTTAGATTCTTAAGAAACAATCATTGCAGAGTTACATATGGTCATAAAACTTTAAAATATTTATGATTATTTGAAGGAATTAGCAACAGGGCTATGAGTTATGAAATCATAGACAAACTTCCCTTTGATTCAAAGAGAACAAATAAAAACAATTAATTACAAACAGTTATCCCAATGAGTTTAAGATATGAGTATTTTACAATAAATGAATGATGCTGTATTGTCACATTATTTTGAAATATAAAAAACAGTGCAGAAAATATTGAAAAGTGTTTATTTTCCCTGGAGGGAAACATTTTTCATTCTGTAATTCCACAACCTAAGACATCTCACAAAATGCTCAAGACCAGTACCAGAGATGCTTACAGATAAGCATTGTCTAATAACAAAAAATATGGCCCCAAAGTAGTCCTAAACAGAATTACATGGGGCTCCTCGACCTGATTCTATATTTGAAACCAAATTACAGGACCTCAATCAAACATATACACCTGGTGTGTCATTTTTTATGATTCTAACACAAAGATCATTAGAATGCTTCTGTAAAAACAGAATCTTTTATGAATAAGCAAAGGCAAGTTGCATTTTCTTCACCTCCAGATCAAAATAAACTGGAATCTTAATTCAAGTGGCTCTATCTGGACTTGTCAGTTGACAGTATCAGTCCCGTTTCCCTTAAACGTGCCCCATTGGATGATGGATTGAGTGTAACATAAACCATTGGTTTCCTTGCATAAAATCTAACATTGTATATCTTTCATACAGCAACAGAACAGTTGATGAAAGCTTCTACGGCAGCCTGATGATCTAAAACCAACTTAAGGGCTTGCAGCATAAGGGCCTAGCTCCTCTTTGGTAGATGTTGTGGGCATTGGTCTTTTTTTCCCACGCAGAGCAGCGTGAAATTGATAAACAGATTTCGGAACGGTTAGATAAACAAAGGATATACCTTTATCCATTTTTTGTAGCAATTTGTTTTTTGTTTGATGGACATCGAATCATACTTTCGTTTTCTAGATCCTTTGGGAGCTCCAGCATTGGAAATTCTATTTGACATAATCGAAAGTTCAAGCTTACTTTTATAAAATTGCTCTTACAGTCTGCAAAAAATAATAAGCCAGATCCAATTCGAAGATTAAGGAACAACGCAATCATCAACATTAACTGAAATAGATAATTAGATAATTTTAGCTTATACCGTCCGTTATACATTAAATGCGCACGCGAAAACGTATTCTGCGCTTGCACAGACGCATATGCGCAGTCGTAGATGTCTTGCGCGCATGCGTAAAACGCCTATGAGCATGCGTCAACGCGGCGCATGCACAGAAAGATTTTAGCTTTGAGATCCGGATAATTGATCATTCCGGATTATGGGTGTCCGAATTAACGACTTTTGACTGTAGTACTTACTGTTTTAATTCTGTTGATGTGCCCAGAGTGGCACACTGATTGAATAGAGCTTTGAAAAGAGTGCTGAAACAAGAATTGTTGTCAATGAACTGACCAATGAGATGCGGAGAAACAAAATACAGACTCTCAGCTGTCCTAGATTATCGATGAGCCTGGTCTGGGCACACCTAGGGTTCGCCGTTTGATAGGCAAGATTTCAAGGTAAAAATTTAAAACTAATATAGAATAAGAAGATTAGCATACAGCCAAAAAATAACAATAGAAATTTTTTCAAACAATTCCTTTATACTCTAAAAAAATCTGGAAGATTTCTTTGAAAAAATAAGGTTTTTAAAAAACTAAACATGGCTAAAATATATGGACTGGTTTGTGTTGAGCTGTCATCTACTATAAATAAAGAAGGTTCAAAGTAACCTATAGTAACCTATAAATCCTCTTTCATTGAATTTTTCTGTGCGTGCAGAAGGAAATTTTTAGGTATGTGCAGACCGGACACACTGCACCGCAAAGGGTTAAAAAGCAACTCCAGAGTTTTCATATGATGTGTTGATGGATATTCAAATGTTAGGTTGTAGAGACATTAGGTTAATTGGAAGCAGAAAAGATGAAAAATATGCAACCGCCTTCGCCGGGAATCGAACCACGAACCTCTGGAATACCGGCTCAGTGTGCAGAACCACTACACCATGAAGATACGCTAGGGAAGTGGGAGAAATACCTTATAAGGTGACCTCTTCTTGTGTTCCCCTACTTCTCTGGTCTACCAATTAACCCCATTCTTTGCCCTCTACATAGATATGTTTATAAATCATAACTAATACAGGGTTCGTAATCATTTCTGCACATGGAAATTAAATACTTTTAAGGACCATTATTGAAAAAAATTAAGGACTCATCAACAACCGGGAACTGAATAAATTCAATTAAAGATATTAGCTATGCCCAAACTTCACTTTTGTGATACCATCCTAAGAATAAAATAAATTCACAAGCAGAATGCATTATTCTTAAGCATAATTTAATAAACATAATTATACAACAAATTTGAGAATAAGATTACCTTTAAAAAATTTATCAGGTAGCATTATATATTTTACCCTTATAATAGTTGGACACATTTGAAAGAAGATTAGTGACATTTTATTTTCGTTTTACTAACAGTTAGCTTTACGTTCACATTTTCTTTTATGTCTCATTTTGTCATGCACTTGCTCAGTTTAAATAAATAGCAGGTATATTTTAAGTCAAATGGCATAGGTTAAAATGAGAGGTAAAATCACAAATTAATCCATTGATTGAGATGATACTTACATTATAAATATTAAGAAAGTAAAAAAGCAAAATATAAATTATAAGATAATATATACCAATTGCACAAAATCTCATGACTGGTTTAAGGCAGTCATGCCACTCTTAAACAAAACTACACACCTGAATTATAACACACTGTCAATCACCTAATTTGCATCTTCTATGCACAGAAGTCTATTTCTATATTCATTTTCAGGTAATCAACATATATAATTACACCATAGAAAATTGGATGAAAACAACATATTTGTTGTGAACATGTTTTTACAGATCATCATTTAACAAGCAGTAAATAAATACAACTATAGCTCTTTGACAAAGTGTCTTTTGCAGCCTGTCGGACAAAAGTATAACTAACCATGACGGTGGTTAACTATTACATCTAACAATGTTCTGTACTAATTACTATATTCAGTTCACATTTCAGAATATTCTCCACTCAGCTGATGAAAAATGCTCAGCTAGTAATAAGATAAACAGAACACAAACCATTTTGTAACACGTGCAACACTAAAACTCATCCAATTACAATTTTCTCATAAACTACATTAAAAGATCAAAACCATTTTTTAATAGTGTATGAATTACCAAGTTTATTTGATAAATTTCATATATTTGGTCCTCAGACTCAAGCTAAATAGTTAAAGGAAAATCCATAGGAATTGACATTGCCAATACAAAAAATTCAGTTTCAGTCCACAAAGCTTCAGAATACATAAAAATAAAACAGAAAATCTCCATATTGTTCACTTAACTGATTATGCAAAGCAATCCAGAGCTACTGCCTGAGGGTAAAGATGCTTTTGTAGAGGACTTTCTAAAAGAAATGTTCATATTTCCAATACACATGGGAGAACCATAAAAATGTTTACACAACCAAACCATCTGCAAGAATATGAGCCCTAATTATGCTCAGTAGTCTTATTCATTCAGTCATTCATGGGGCCTTCATATTATTATATTCATCACTTTTTATAAAATCAGCAAATGACTAAGTAAATAAATTGAGAATATTATAAATCTTTTGTTTAATATTGCCACTTTACATGCTAGCGGAATCAGAACAATTATGCATGAACTTGCAATGCTTTATTAAGTCAAACTGAATGCTTTCACAAAGACAAACATCTTTGAAACATTGTTCAAAGTAAAACTTTTATCAAATAATGCTGAAATTATTTTCTTTACATTTCTTTCTCAATAATAAAACTAAATGAGATTATCTTGAACTTTAAGATCACATCCCAAACTTCCTTTTGATAATCCTTAAATTTAAAATAGCATGGCTTTAGTTTAACTTGATCCTTTAGTCACCTTCAAAAATATCATGAATAAAATGATGGACTTAGAAAATAATTTTCAGAATGCAGTTTATATTTTTATTTAAACCACAAATTATATTTTATTAACTTGTATTTTAATTATTTTTGATAAAAAAACAATGGAACTGTTTCCTATATACATTATTAGTCTGGTTTAAACATTTAATATATTTCCTTTGACAAATCAAAAGGTAAAGTACTTACTTAAACCTTTTATGGAATGTTTTTGTTTTACTTTGTTAGTATGCATTAAAATCTTAAAACTTTTTCCGGCTTACTGGAAATCTCATCAGCTTGAATTTTTATTTTACTTTTAAATCTGTTCTCAGTTTATTAAAGTTTGTTCACATAAATATTAGATAATAAATTTATTAATTGAAACAAAAGCACCTACCACACATTTTTGTCTTACTTAAATAGCACTAAATACACTTATTAAAATAGTACTAAATACACTTTTTTAAACTGAAAACCAATTTTCACACAAATATGATTATTGGAAGTAATATATTTTGCATTACCTTTAAACATAAGCGTAATTATTTTTTCACATAAAATAAAGGACAATATTGACAAAATAAAACTAATCAAAGAATACAAAATTTAATCTCTTTACTGGAAATTTTAGTTTAACTATTACCTTGAATATTCAGTATTACTAGAGAGGTTTTTTAAGGTGCACATTATACTATCCATCTCAGGTGCCATTCCATTGTTTTCTATTTTTGCTCTTTCATAATCTTCCAAATATGCACCGACGAGCTATGAATTAAAATATTACTATCACACTTCACTTAATTAACACACAAAATGTTAATTTTTCAAATTAATCATGTACAAATATATAATTCTAAAAAATATTTAAAAATTACCTTGAGTATTTGGCAGGCACATTTAAAATTTTCAGGACATCCATACGCTAAAACAGTTTTAATCAGAAAAGGTAAATTGTCACCCAACACACTAATTTTTTGCTTTTTCACCTGAAAAGAATTTAAAAACAACTAAACAAACTCATTTTAATCAATGTGCAAATTTAAAATTACATAAAACAGACTGCACATTATATATAAGGGATTTAAGGTATTACTAAAAGAGTATAAACATTAAAAGCAAAAGAGCACACATTACATTTTTTCTCAACCAAATTTTAAGGGATTTGTGACTTATTCCCAAGGCCAGTGGCATTTCAAATGGCATGAGGTCACCTTACTGCAGCATTTAAAATTGTGAGACAGATGAGCTTTGGCAATGACAAAAGCGAAGTAGCCCTTTTAGATGTTTGGAAATCTGATAGACATTTTAAAGTATACTCCATCTATTCTCCTCCTTTTTTTCTAGTCTGGATGAAAAGTCCTTTCATTATTGATGCCACAAGGAACACCATATTTATTGACGACTTTACCAAGACCTGATTATGGTGATTTGTTGGCGAAGTGGAGGACCTGCTAAATACAAAGCTTTTTCAACTCATTTTATAATGAAAATAATGTACATTGCACACGAAAAGGGGGGACAGTTCTATATATCTCATTCTACTGGGATAATTAATGAAATTCAACTTGCATTTTCCATGTCTTGAAAGCGTGACTTAGGATATATATTAGATTAATATATAGCATTCTTCTAAGGTATTTTGAAACAAAATCAGACTTTTTCTGAAATGACATGCCAATTTTTCTCAATATTTCGATTCTACGACTCGAATTATGCCAAACTGCCAAGTTTTGTAAAAATTGCATGATTAGTCTTTAAAAAAATTAGCTCGTCAAAGTTAATTGAATTTGATACATATTTATTAATCTTTTTTTTTTATATTAAACTTGCTTGATTCCTTCTTTCAGAATTTGAAATTTAGGCTGAATCCAAATATAAATTGGCACATTTTTTATGATTTATATTTTAAAATTTGTATTTTTTAATATTTTTTATAAATTTTTAAGAAAAATGTTTATATCATAACCTATAAATTTTTAACATTGTCTTAGATGTATTTCTAGGCACATCTGCAAAAAATTAAAGTTTTTATTCATAATTTTCTAAGATATACACGAATTTAGATATTGGAGAGGTTTTGAAATTTGACATCTTGTTTTTGAATGATAATAACGCCAAATGTGGTTTGGCGTTATTATCATTCAAAATCAATTCCACTTTGTTAAAGTTATTTCAAAGTATGAACTGAATGAAAGATGACTTTTTCCTGCTTGTTTGCAATGAAAAAAGAAAAGGAAAATAAGTTGCTATAAATTAAGACGTTCATTATTCTTGGCAAAAACTGAAAAAAAATACACTAAGATAAATTTTTGAATTTCTTTGCAAATTTCACAGAATTTAATATATAGGCATAATTTGAGTCGTAGAATCGAAGTATTGAAAAAATGGCATGTTATTTCAAAAAAAGTCTGATTTTATGTCAAAATACCTGTGTTAGAATGATGCTATATATAAATCTAATATATATCCTAAATCGCGCTTTTGAGACAAGAAAAACGCAGTCTGAATTTCATCAATTGGCCCAGTAAAACGCAAGATATAGAACTGTCTTTTTTTTGTGTGTGCACAGTGTAAATACATACTTACATTACAATGGTATAAAACCAACTTTTTTTGTTGCTGGTCACGCCTGACGAAAGGCCATTAGTAAATAGTGGATTTTTAGAGATCCAAACTCATGAGATAACGAAGTTGCTGCAAAATTCACCTTTTAAACTTCCCCAAACAGTAAACCAGTTCCCAGAATTTCTTGGAACTTTAAAAAGACCAGGTGGAAGAACTTTGAATCCCTTGTAGACAGCAAATTAGATCACAGTTCTTTAGACTTTGACCAAAACATCGGAAGACTATACGAGATCATTCGGGGAAAAAAAAAAAAAAAATCTGTTGTGCGAAGAAAACAATTCCAACAGGCACAGTTGCAAGACAGATTCAGACGTCATGCAGAACTGAGAGGATGTTCTGGCCTGGAGATGATAGGCTGCAGTAATAAAACAAACTCTACTTACATGAAAGACATTCAACTTTTGGGAAATTCATTTCAAACCTCGATTTCTAAAGGGCTTTTAGCATTTTAGCAGAGATTACGGATGGTCACAATAAGGACTCTAAATGGCCTTTTTGTTTTAAGAACAGAAACTTTGGCCTCTGATAAAGAAGTAGCTAACTCTTTTGTACAATTTTTGCAGACTCACAGAGAAAAGAACCCACTACCAGATGACAATTTAGGGCAATTCAAAAATTTTAAATTAGAGGAAAGTTAGGGTAATCAATATATATCAGTGTGTCCATTTTCAATGCTTTCATTAGCTTGTCCGAATTGAAAGAGTTCACTCAAGGGCTTCAAAATATGAAAGTCCCTAGGTGAAGGCAACGTATTCTCATATTAAAATCTATTTCTGGAATCAAATGTTTGCTGTATACCAATGACCTAGCTGTATGGACTGATTCTCTCACATCTGTTGCAAAAAAAGACTTCTGAAAAGACCTTAAATAAAGCAATGTTTATTTTAAGGAAATGGTCTGAGTAACAAAATAACATGAAAGTAAACCTAAATAAGACATTTGTGCAGTCTTTTTTTCTCTATCGCATTAACCTTTCTACCCACAGATAGTTTACAAAAACTGCAATATCCTGACATCAGAAAAGATCAAATATTTAGGTGGAACCTTTGACAGAAAGCTTTATGGAATTTGCATATTGACGATGTCTTCAGCCATGTATCAAAAGACTGTTTCTTTTGAAGATTTTAGCAGATTCCAAATGCGATTGCTCCAGATCTACCTTAAATCAAACCTATAATGCTTATATACTGCCTGTCATAACATACTGCTGTGAACCACTTGTTATTGCTTCTAAGAAAATAATCGATTCCCTTGAAAATTTCAAAATTAAGTCTCGAGTCTCATTACTGGAGTAGCAAAATCTCCCCCTATTGATTATTTATTGTTATGCTCAAATAACAGTCCTCTCAGTCTAGTTATTAAGGAATGTGCTTTACTGTTATGGGAGAAAATTTTTAGAACTCCTGGTCTGACCATGTGGGATCATATCTCTACTGAGACTGATCATGATCTAATGACTTGGAGAGGCTTTGTGCAAGGCGTCATAAATACGATTTCTCAACTTGGCATCGATTTTGGAATACAGAAATTTTTATTACCCCGTTGAAGACAAAACCTTTTCTGTCTGCCTTGACTTGAGTTAGAATGTGTTAAAAGTAGAGGAATGCGATGAAATCCTAAAGTCTGTGACATATGAGACTTAATAACCATTACCATGTTTCGCATTGCCTCAGGGTCTCTAACAGATAGTTCTAGGGCAAGAAGATTGTGTCAATGCAGGAGCTGGTGTGTTTTTTGCGAGCTCGTTTTATTTTACTCTCCTGCTGGTGCTAACATGTCAGCTTTCGACAAAGAAATCGCTGCTATCCAATTGGCCCTTCAACTACAAAACTGGCTGGAATGTTTTTCTAAAAGTAGTGATTCTCTCGGATTCAAGAGTAGCTCTTCAGACCATGGCCCATCCCGTATGAAAGAAACTGATGACTGTATCAATCTTTTGGCATGTTAGTCATACTGTAATAAAACAATTATCTTGCAGTGGATTCCGGGCCACTGGGGAATTGAAGGGAATGAAACCACAGACTTTCTGGCAAAAAAAGGAAGGGCTTCTGTTTTACAGCTAAATAGTCAGAAACTGCCTTACCAATCTATTAAGACAATAATTAAAAGGACACTAATGAGTTCCTTCTCTCAGTAAATTGCCACTAAAAGAGATCAAAAGCCTGGATTCAATCACATTCAAGATATTCCTGAGTGGCCTCATGATAAATTGATGGCACAGTTACAGTTATTTTCTGGTCACAATTGTCTCCAAAATTAACATTAACTCTAAAATTAACATTAATCTCCAAAATTAAAATTACAATTAACTTGGCTCTGGAACCTGCTTGTCCTTTTTACGACTCTGGAGAGGATTTTGACGTTTCTCCCCTTGCATCCTGTCCTGCTCTACCTCTTGCATCCTTACGAGCGATACTGGATTGACAGACTAAAGTTGACAGATTAACCAATGTCATTCCATCTTTATATTCACTTCTTTTTATGTTCATTTCTTTTTATTTTAAAAGATATCTGTTGTCCTGCGTACTTGATATTGAGGGAAAAAATAGCTTGCTTCCAATTATACATCTCAATATCTAACCTTAATCCTATAATAAAATCAAAACGAAAACTCAACTTTTAGTTTAGTAGCAAATAGCTTCATTTATATATGGATTTTTAGTCAAAACTGCAAGCACACATTAAAAATGATTATATAGCTATTGTGATTATCTTTTATGGAAATAGCAAAAATTACTTTAAGCATAAAAAATAGTGCAACATGGTGAAAGTATACTTAAGTCTTCAAAATCACAGGTTCAACTGGTTTAAAATGCCATTAGTAAATTTAAAATTTGTAATATTAAAATGAAATTTTTAACAGACTTTTCTAAAACTTGTTCATATAGATATTATAAAACACAGCAGAAAGTGATAATACAATTAAGCATATGCCTAGCAATACCACTAAGGATTTAAATTACTTCCTAAAACACGCCAGTTATGTGTCACATATGACAAACAGTGAAAAAACTATTCCTTATAGATATAATTCTTAAAAAATTGTATATGTCTTCTTTGATGGAATCAGAAAAATTTTTAACGGCTTTATCAATGATCACGGGAGAAAATCCTCGGTCAATAGCAACTGCTCTCAAATAATTAAGTTCATTGGTAAGCAAAGATTCCAAGGAACAAACTTTGAGTGTGCGAAACACATAATAGTAAAAATAAGCCATTTTTTGCTTAACAGAGTGGCATGACTTAGCATGGGGTGGTAAACAAACTGCAAAGGGTTTATGGTACACAGTGGTGCAGATTATAAGATTATCAAGGGAAGGGAATTGTTGGATTCAATTTTAAGAGTTAATTGGATGGCAGGATCAATTGAATTTATAACAGATAAAATCTAGGATAAATCTTCTTTATTACTATCAAAAAACACGAAAGTGTCATCTACATACCAAATACAGAGACGAAAAGATAGTTTATCAAATAATTTCACATCAAAATAGTGCATATAAATGTCAGCAAGTATATAAGTATTAATATATGTACACTAAATACGAGGTTGTTATTGTGATTTTGTTTAAATCTCATACTCAGAATATTTGAAAAATCATCAAAATGAAAGGCAAAGACAGTTTAAAAAACATCACATTTGGATCCAAAGATAATTTAATATTTTTTTTTCAATAAAAAATTTTATGGTACTGCTATTTTAACAATATAATAATTTTAGTATATTTATTAACAACATTATCACAAAATCCACATATCACCAACTTCTTTTTTTTTTTTTTTTTTTTTACGAACATCGATTTTAAATCGCCAAATTTAGCAATGTACTCCAAAGAATTCGTATTATAGACAGGGGGAAAGGATTCCCCCCCCCACGAATTAAAAAAAATGGCAATCTTTGGTGATGCTGCAAAAAATTGCAAAATTTCTGAAAAAAAAAAAAAAAAAAAAAGTAATTTTAAATGCAAGATTTTACAGAACACAACAGAAATACAGAACAGAAGATACAGAAACTTTTATAAAAACTTCGAAAAATTCATGAAAAAGTGCAGATATTATTTAAGTGAGGGTCTATAAATCTTGCTAGAACCTATAATTCCATAGAAATATTGCCTCAACAGCTAATCACTGTTGCTGATATTTTCTATTATTGGGGGGGGGAATGGATTCAGAAATGTATACACATATGAATGCATGTTATGTACGTATGTGTGCCTATACATACGTAGGTATGTATGTATGTGTATGTACACACACATACATTTCTGAATCCCATGCTGGTAACAGAAAAGTAAAAATAAATAAATAAATAAATAAATAAATAAAAAGGAATGTTCTTGAAGCACATGTTTACATTATTCTTAATATATATTTTAAGTATATTCAGTCAATACTCTTTAGCAGCATTAGAATTTTTTTAAAATTTCATTGTGATTTAAATATCAGTAAATGATTACAGCCAACATGAACTAAATCTCATTAATTGAATTTATACTTCAATTTAGTAATTTATTTTGTCAAAAACATAAAGCAAATTCCATTAGCACAAACAGAAAAGTTTAACACATAAGCCTAAAAACTAAAGATTAATAAATTTACTTTCCTACTAAAATAACACAGGTGTTAGAACAAACGATCACATGTCAAAAGAAACCCATTTTTAAATTTCAGTCATAGTAAACAACAAAAAAGGGGGGTTCTAACTTTCTGCAAAATATCACATTTGGCAGGAAAATTAACTGCATGTGTCAGTATTTTTCATATGGCTAGAGGCTAACTTTTTTAAAATGTGATAATAATAGTTCATAAAATCTAATTACAGTAATAACATCCAATAATCAAAAATATGATATTAAGACTTCATAATTTTGCAAATTCTTCATGCATTCCGAAAATGCTTTTCATTTTGATGATATGGTGTACAGTTTTTATACTACAAAACTTTTAAAATTATAATTCCAAACACATAAAATAATGTTTTACTGATATTTAAGTTTTCATTAATTTTAAAATATAATAAAGTAAGTTTTTACATAAATTAATAATTCAAGGGATTCTTAATTAATAATTCATAATATATGTAAATTAAACAAAAAAAAAAAAAAAAGGCCTACTTCCAACTGAGAGAAGAGTTCAGCTAAAAACATAGCAAAGCCTCTAAAATATGTTCCTCCATCTTCTGCTTGAGCAAGACTTTCTCGGCGTTTAAACTCCTGATTACACCTAAGACAAAAATTATTTAGTTTCATAATTTATTATTATTTAGTTACATAATTTCTTCATTTGTAACAGTCACAAAGAGAAACGCATTATATTGCTACAAGATGTGTCAGATATATGGCTCAAAATTTGAAATAAATAGTCTCTTACCATTTACTGTAAAGAATGATATACACCAAAGAGCCATTACATTATGACCACCCTGTTAATAACATGTAGGACTCGAAACTGCTAGCACCCAGCATGGCATTGAGTCCACAAGGTAGTATACATAATCTGCTAATAAATAGTCTGAGAAATCTGATACCAAGGCATTCACCAACTGGTCCTGCAATTCCCGCACATTGCGAAAGGGTACAGTGGCAGCACGAATTTGGTTTTGCAGATAGGACGACAAATGCTCTATTGGATTAATATCAGGTGAATCTGGAGGCCATGACATGACTTGATAGTCACTGAAATGTTCCTCGAACCATTCCCTGACAATTCGAGCTTTATGACATGGTGCAGTATCCTGTTGGTAAACTACATTCCCCGCCGGAAATACTGTTGTCATGAATGGATGAACCTGGTCTGCAACGATGTTCACATAGCACACAGACATCAGGGATTGTTCAATGGGGATTATGGGTTGTGTTCCATGAAAACATTGTCCATGACATAATACAGGTGCCTCTCCGTCCAACTGCGCATAAAGGAGGCAGGGTTTCATTTGGAAATTGGCGTATTGGCACATGCCTGTCAATGTCATGGACTAGAAAACGTGATTCGCCGGACCATGCAACTTTCTTCCATTCTTCTAATGTCCATTTCCGATGTTTCTTGGCCCATTGCAGATGCAGCTGGCGATGACGTGCCATTACTTCAGGGACATGCTTCGGCCTACGGCTGCATAGGCCCATATACAACAATGTACACTGAACAGTGTGTTGAGACACACTCTCTGGGTTGCCACTGTTTTAGCTGGTGGGAATTTCGGTTATCGTAGCTTTCTGGTCATGGAAACAATGCGCAGCAGTCAATGGACAGCAAACAATGCGCAGCAAACAATGCGCAGCAGTCATGGACAGCAAACAATGGTTGAGCAAACAATGAACAATGGACAGCAAACAATGCGCAGCAGTCATGGAAACAATGCGCAGCAATCTCTGCTCTCCTCTGAAATCAGAAATCCGTGCGCTGTCAACAACACACTGATGGCTTGTCATTTCACCATCCATACACCACTTTTGATATGTGCTCACAAACAACTGCACGTAAAGAGCCCACTAAACTCGCCTTTTCTAATACTGACCTTCCCAGTTGCTAAGCCATACCGATTTGACCTTTATCAAAGTCTGATAGGTCAGCTGCTTTTCCCATTCAGTCAGTAATTCTGCTATGTTTAAAAAGACAATGTATAGCCACTTTATATACTCCAACATCAAGCCGAGCACGCAAAGTGGTTTTGTTCCTGGGTGAGCCTATTGTGATAGATGGAGGGTGGTCATAATGTAATGGCTCTTTAGTGTATTAAAATTTCATTTAACATAACAGTCACATGCCTAAGCTTACATCACTAACCAAAGCAGCATAAAACATGCATCAGCAAGTTAATTTGTAGCATGAACACGGTAGCCATATTTCTAACTCGCTCTAAATTCTATATATATATATATACTTTTAAAATATTTTTAAACAAAAAGAGTGACATTTTAAATACCTTAGCAAGAGTATATTTCTGAAATTATTTCGATCAGGTGGGACAACAAGGTCATCACACAGTGTTTTACAAAGTCTAGCACCACTGTAGCGTAGATTAGGTTGTCTAACGGACTGAAACAAAAAAGACATCAACAAAAAAGTAATTTGGGGAAAATTTTAACTGACATTTCTTTAACATGCATTCAATTATGCTTTATTTGCGAGATTTCAGACAATATGTAGTGAACAGGGAATATAACAACATTAAATACATTTCATGACAGTGCGAGTAATAATTAAGAAAAGATGTTAAATGATGCATGCAAAAAATATAAACATAAAAAGCCAACTGCAGTTCTACTCGATCATTAAAGTTGCTACTTTTTTACAATTCTGAAGGTGACAGCTTTCAGCTAGTTTCTGAATAACTTTATGATCCACTGAAGCTAGTGATTTCCACAACATAAGCTAGAGAATTTTATGATAATAGTTTCAACATTTTAGGTAAGGAGTTCAGCAAAACAAAATCTAATTTTGCATAATCTTCACAACATAAAACTTCCATTACCATTATTCATTTTTTAAATAATAAAAAATTCATGAAGACAAAAAATAAATGCATCAAAATAGTTCATTTTTCATATAACAAGTATTATTTAAAGCATTTCAGAAAGTATTATTTATAGCGTTTTATGAAATTCATAAAATACCAATTAAATTTAGATTTATTATTTATATAATTTAGATATGAAAAAAACTTCAAATTGGAAATGCTTAAAAACTAAAAACCCAGATATTTTGACAAGAAATTTAACTTTTACTTCACCTAGTATATCAAGTTAAAAGTGCCATTGTACTGATTCTGGTAAGAATTTTAGTGATGTATTTGATAAATGAGCCATTACACTGATTTCAGTATAATGGCCCATTTATCAATCATGAGATACTTACTAACCATTATAACATACATCAAGAATTTATCTTATCAATGTGAACCAAATGTTGTTTCATACTAATTAATTGATGCTTTTAAACTTTCCAATTGGAAATTTTGCTCTATCTCTTTTCGTTTTCGGTTTGCAATGTCTATCTTCCAAATTTCCCTACTAGGGGCACTGTTGTCGTTTGTATTAGGTTGGCATAGCCACTTTAGTATACCATTATCACATTTGCATAGCTGTAGCTCTCTCTCTGTTCACAAGAATTTTCAAGTTAAAGGGACTTTTCTATGCACCCTGTATATGTACACTGGAGATATTTTCTCTAAGAAATGCTCAATCTGAACTGACAGTCAGTAAGGCACATCTTTTACAAATGCCAGATGGTTTGAGCAAGATACTACGGTCAAATACCGAAAATTCGCCAACTCCTGAAATCCGCGTTGCCTCTCAAAATATAAACATTCAGTTTATTGGTTCCGGAAACAGCAACAATGAGTACGAAATATCAAAGAAAAAATACTTACTAAATAATAATGAGTTATAACGGAAATACCAAATTATTGACATCATGATAAAAGTTTTTTCCCCTCTAATCTGTATCAAGGTAAGACAGGGTTCATAGCCACATTTTAGTTAAAAAAGTAAGCACCTCTAAGCACTTTTCAAGGAAAAATAAGCACCTGTCTAATTACATTATACACAACTGCATAACCTTAAAAGAAAAATTAGACTTGTAATTTAAAATATGAGCAATGCAATATTTATTAAGAGAATGAGCATTACCTCAACAATGGAAAACAATTAACTTTTTTTTTTTTATTTATTTTATTTTTTTATTTTTTTTTAATGACAGTTCATTTACAGTAATTAGTTTACAATGAGAGGGAAAAAACTATGCAGAACTAAACTACATTACAAGATTTAATGATGATATTTCAGTTGAAAATATAGGAAATAAATAATAATAAGCCATATTAATTGTATTCATTTGGCACCTAATAATAAATACAATTTATTTTCCCACTCATATTAATATTAAAAATTTAACTTAAATCAAAATTCTGACATTTTCTAATTTTCATTGCATAACAGTTGTCCCTTAACATATATTCCAAGCAAAGTAATTTAAGTAAAAAAGAGGCACATTTCTGAAATAAGAAGACGGGAAATTGCTTCATGCAGTTATCCTTTAACAGTAAAAGCTCAACTAACCCGCATTCTCGGAAATTCCCGAATATTCCAGATAGTAACTGGAAAAAGAGGAGTGAGGGAGATTGTAGCTGTTCTTTAGATTTAAATTTAAGCTAAATAAATTATTTTGACATTTCGATATGTGCATCATATAAAAACCAACAGAACTGAGAAATATTCGGCTTAGAAAGCACAGTAAAACTCTTTTAAGTGTGCATAAACAAATCTCAGACTGAACATCAATATTAATTATCAATGCAAAATACCGCAAACGTTATTGCGCAATATGTGCAGCATAATTCTTCCATATGTGATATTACGCAATCGGAATTAACACCTGCCGGTATTCAGAGAATAAAGAACTAAATAAAGGCGGGGAAAAAAAAAAGAGAAAGAAAGAGACTTACTAATCTGAGGTGTTTCTGATTCTAATTTTCAACAGACTGTATTAAATTTCCGGAATAGAATCAATCTTCGCTTGGGTTGGGTAGACCGTAAAAACTTTTAGTCCTATTCAATCCAGATTGGACAGTGACAAAAAAAAAAAAAAAAAAAAAAAGTCCACTGCTTCAATATTAGAGATTTTGCGGTGAAACTCCCAACCTCCGTACTGTATAACGTATTGGCAAAGAAAATGAAATTATTTTGACTATTCGATTACTTTCCTTTTATTTAAGCCATTCCGAATATTATTCCTTAGAAAGCTAATCTGTGTAAAAACACACCCATTTTTGGAAGTTTATCTATACTTCAGTAGTTACTGCAAACTGTATTATTATAAATATTCATACATATGCTCATAATATAAGAATACCGATCATAATAAACACGAATATGAACTGACCCCGCGGAACAAGAATGCAAATTATTAAAATCTTGATAAAAATTCAAACGTGTGCAGGGTGGGAGGAAAAGAATACTAAATGTACCGGAATTTTCTACCGTTTTCAATTCTTTGGCCAATAGAACAACGTGCACCTGTCTGTACTCTCGCGCGCACCATAGGTTACCTTAACTCTTTCGCATCGAAGTCGCCCGTAACACCCGTTCATTCAGGCAATGGTAAACCACCCCAACGCCTCGTTTATTTTCTACCTAGTTCTTTCCCCTCCACGTTAGTGTATGGCTCATTGGTTTCGCGAGTTGTTAAAAGACATGTCAATCATTCTTTTTGAAGCAAATAAAGGAGAAATACGGAAAGCTATTGACGTTCGCAGATGCAATCCGGCCCTAAGGTGAAACTGCACACAATGGATGAAACCGCAGTGGGAAAGGAAAACTATTCCAAGACAAATTAGTAAACATGGGCGTTTTCGATGTTTGTTGAAAGCAGATTTGGTCGTCTCTCGATGCGAAAGTGTTAATGCAGTGGAAGGGGGGAAAGCAATTTCCGGGAGTACGATTCACCATCTGACGTTGCATATAAGGAAGAAAAGTTGTTTATTTAGTTTCGGCTTTGGTACAGGGAAATAATGCGCGTTCATTAAAAACAAAGGATTAAAAAAAGCACTAAAAGCAAAAAATAAGCACTAAAAACAAAAAAATAAGGGCTTTAAAGAAAAAGTAAGCACCTATAAGGGCCTTTATATTTTATTTTCAAATATAAGGACTTATAAGCACTTGTAAGGATCGCTACGAACCCTGTAAGAAAGCAGACGATTCACTCAACTCTTCTTTCAAGTTCACGATTCACTTTGTTCTATTTTCTGAGCTTTGTTATTTCACGAGATTATTTAGTGCTGCCTTTTTTGTTATCCGTATATTTTGTGTATAAATTAAGAATATTTTAAGTTTCAGACCTTTTTAATACAATGAGATAAGAAAGGCACTCATGATTTTACTGCTTGCAACGTTGAAAAACATAAACACGTTGCATTGACGGTAATGCAACAAGTGCAAATTCTGCAAAAGAGGGAGACAGGTGCTACTCCTCGGTTTATAGCAGAATCGTATGGAATTGCGATATGATTGTGTATGACATACGGAATAATACAGAAAAGCTGTTTAAATTTTACAGCAACAGTAATTCTAACACCGGAAATCTTTGCATGAGGCAAAATCGGCAAACCTTGATGCTGTGTATATATAATACAATGAATAATATAATCAATTTATATATGTAATAATAATTTAATGCTTATAATAAGTTATTGCAATAATGTATATAATAATTTAATTAAATGTATCTAATACGCCTTATTTATTTTGCACTTTTAGTCTGAATATTATGATTTATCTTTTCTATCCTGAAATCCGCACAACTTCTGGTCCCAAGCTTTGCGGATTTCTGGAATTCTACTGCATTTTTAAAAAAGTCACTCACTCTGCAGCTACTGCTAATAAAATTTGTTTGTATCTCATTTAGTCCACGAAATAAAGAAACTTTTAAATATCTTTAATAGAGTACAATTATTATAAAGAGCCTCAATTTCTTACAATCATTTTCAAATTTCTTGAAAGATGCTGAAAAAGATCACATACAGGTCAAATTGATTAGCCTTTTTTATATAAATATTCATTATAATCTCATACACAAGCTGGCTTAGTTACCTGTTAAGTCTTCTTGTTTTCCTTTCTTTGTTACTTTAAAGGAGTTGCCAAAGTATCATGCATAAATGTCAACATGCAGATTACAATTTCGTTCTTTCACAAAAGATGAATGATTTCTTGCTTCTATGAGAAAGTCATTTCTTCTCTTTACTGACTTTTACATTTCTCTTTTCAATGTTTTGTTATATTCTTTTTTACAATATCAGAGATTTTTATTTTTTTATGTTCCAATACTTCAGCTGCAGACAACCACCCACAGCTGAAAAGTTCTTGCTTAATATAATGTGATTTACCAATATAATGCTATTAAGACTAATTCTTCCAGGTTCCCCCCACCCCACCCTTATATATAAAGACTGCTATCGTAAAATTTGTCTAAATATATGAAATATAGCTCTCTGATTAATCATTTCAATAAAAGATAAAAAAGTACAACACACTTTAAAAACT